AGTCAACGAAGTGAGGTACATGAGTGAGGAAGTACAATTTAAAGATTAATTAAATATCTATTTATGTATATACACACCAATTTTTATGTAAGATCTAAATACATATTTATGTATGTACGTATAAAAACTGATTTATTACAATTTTAATTAATTTTAATCTTTTAAGACAATCTGCGTTCTCCCATCGTTCGATGGTAATGCTGCGGGTAATGGCTTACGGCCAATGACATACCCATGCTAAAGTAATCAGCCATATCGCCAATTTCTTGTGAATAAATTGTTCCCATAATTTAACTTGCAAACCAAAAAACAAATTGGGAAAAATTGTTTCTGTTTTGCTTTATAATTTTTGGGAATATTTACATAATGTCTTCTTGAAGCGAAAGAGTAAGGAATTCCCATCGCCCCATACGATTCCATTTTAATTTCTCTGGTAACCTTTTTTTTTGCTGGGGAACGTCGTAATTTTAAAAAAACTATTTCTGTACCTATATACATACATACGTACACACATAGAAATGCGTGTGCAACTTCCCTGTAGTCAAATGAACTAGTTGTAAACTACCCCACAACTAGTATGAATCGCATGCCCAACTAGTTAGCCAACTATCTTTTTTCCATGCTATCAACTGGTATTTTTAACATGGGGATGTCCTACGAGATGGCCATTGTCAGATTTCGCTCAGAAATATACCAGTATCATACTAGTTCAAAATAGACAGAAAAATACTAGTCTAATTATGGACCAAAACCACTACTTTGGGAGTAAAAAATGAAATGAATTTATGAATATGCAATTATATGCAGCCTTAGATTTGCCAATAATTAGTGTTAAATTTTTTGAGTATTAATTAAAAGAAAAAATAAATACATAGATATTTCAAACTTTCGAATATAAATTTAAATTCATTTTTCATTAAATGTTATTAAAAGGAAAAGGTTTCAGGTACAATAAATACTATATTTTTATCTTTTTTAATAATATGGAATATGCAAAAGAAAACTTTTAGTTAAAAATAAAATGAATTCTTTAGATAATTTTTGAGTGAACTAAAATAAAAATAAAAGTTTTCATTAAAATAAATTAAATTCATTAACTTCGCACATTTCAGTCTATTATTTTAAAAAAAAATAATAATAATAATAACTAATGTTTAAAATTTGAGATTTGGATAAGAATAAAATAAATAAGTAATTCAAGCAGTTATTAAATATTCTTAATTTTTGTCTATGGTTTGGCTTGTTGATTGATAATAGAAATTTATCAAATAATTATATTAATAGTGTAATTAAAAAGTCAAGAATAATTGAAAATGAGCAATAATAACAAAATAATGATGTAATTAAAACTAATGAATTAATTGACATTTTTTTTAAGTAATTAATTCTTAATCATTAAAAAGGTGGTAATATCGGTATTTGATCATTAAACGGTTATCCAAAAAAACATGCCTAGTATTATGAGTATTAATCATTACTTAAACGGACTAGTATAATGGTTTACAATATACCCAAATAAAAGTTATATTATTTTGTGTACTTTATTGTATTAAACTGTCGAAGTTAAATAATACAGGGTGTGAATAAATCGTTTTGTACTTGGTAGAAGTCTGGTCATTTTCGAACTAGTTCGGTTTCTGTTAGGAAATTCTAGTTGTAAACTAGTATTTTTCCTGACTAGTTTGGGATTTCACTGCTGGGTTGTGTTGGGCGTGGTCGCTGCCACACTTTAGGTTCTAATATGATAATTGAGGGATTTTCGTCACAACGCTTTCTGTTGCACAGTGGAAAGGAAATTTCGCTTGGCTAACGCATTAAAAATCCAAACCCCCGCCTCCCCCGCCCATGCAAGCCGCCACTCTCTCAATCCGCTTCAGCTTTTTAGTAACACTCAATTTGCATATTACTTAGTGTAGCCACGCTATAGCAGAGAAACCCTCTATTTACATATATATAGTACGTACGTTGATCCTTCTGCTCAACGTCGCATCATTGGTTTGGTGGCGCTGCTTTGCTTTTGTGCGTATAATTGAATTTGGCGAAGCATTAAATATACTTTATGCTTTTAAAATTTGCAAATAAAATGTGAATAGAAAATTGTTTGTTTACGGGAGAGGAGTAATGGGATAGAAAGGAGGAGAAAGCTGTAGGAGTATGGTATATAATAAATTGCTTGATTACATCTTTTGCGTGTGAGTTTGCGGTTTTATTGCCATTGAGCTGTAAAAACCTGAGCTGAGATTTATAAATTTCAGTAAAAAACTTTCTTTAAAGCGTATATTAAACTAAAATCAACTGAAATAAAAGTCAGAATGCCCACATCCTCTTTAGGGAAGGAGCCTCTGCCCAACTGCTGGATGCTATTAAAAAAAAATACCAAAAAATTTACGGCATGCCACATCTAATATTACAGTTGTTATAAGACGGAGCACAAATTTAGTGGGAGATTTGTGGTTTGGCGGCGACTCCGACACCTTGTCTCCAGCTTCACTCCCATCAGAGAGCGAATTGCCATAACCAGCATAAAGGCTAAATTTAACAGCATAAGCCTGATATGTGTTCACGCCCCGACGGAATAGAAGGATGATGAGTCCAAGGCGCATATCTATCTATGTACTCGTAGTATATGAGCAATGCCCCCGTCACGATTTTAAAATCGTGTTTTGTGCCTTTAACGCCAGGGTTGGCAAAGAAGGCATAATTGGTCGATCAGTCGGAAATTTGCGATCTTTTGCGGATGCGGTTCGATTGCTTCGAAGATATTTTGAATTCTTCGACATTGGACTTTCAGTGCCGGCTATTAGAAAATTAAACATTGGCTCATTTATTCACGGACGTAACGCTTTTGTTAAATTATTTAGACAGCAATGGAAGACATGCCTTATGACGACCACAAAGTCATGATCAGAGCAGTAAAATGTGCCAATGGAAGACGTAAATGTGAACTGTTGGCGAAAATGTTGGACCAATTAAAAAAACAAAGCATTTTGGGCGGCACGAAGCCTGCCGGGTCCACTAGTATTTGTATAATGAAAATCTATCAAAATATAGGTAATTGCTTTCTAACGTTGATATGTGTGCTTAAAACTGTTAGCAGCCTATCAAAATTTGCAATACGTAGGGATACAAACGATGAATTGATATTTTTGAAACAATGCTAATAACGGTTCAAAATTCGATGTTTGCCATCGATATTTACGATTTCCTAAAATCGCTAAATTGACAATACATCAATGACAATTTCAAAGATGTTTTAAATATTGACTTAAGTGTGACTTGCTTCGAGCTTTAAGCTCCAGCGAAATTACGATGATATGCTTCTTTATCCTAATTATAGGAAGATGTATCGATGTTTCTCCCCAAACTTTGCATTTCCAGCACTATGCGGAAAATGAAAGTATCTCCCAAAACAAACACGTCTAATTTCTAATTTCAGCACAGCTGATTGCAGTCGTGGGGAGTGGAAAAGCCATAAATTGTACTGTTTCTGATCTCAACATCGAATAAGTGATTTCGGACTTGCACGATTGTCGAACTCACCGATTCAGTTTCATTAGTTAGTTCAACCAAAGATACTCGACCAGCATGTCACTGGCCGTCAAAAGGCGTATTAATTAAATGATTGTGGTGCTGCTGGCTATGATTAAGTGCTCAAAATAATAGGCGTTTAAAAAAAAAAGTTTCGTAATTTTATGTAGCTTTTCACTGCGCGAAATTGCCTACATATCTAATGCAATGTAAAAATGTACGTGTATCTGTATAAATGTTTATTTCTCCAAATAGTCCTGCCATTTGTTATGCACATTTTATTTTCTCAGTTTCACAAATTTTATTCAACCATCATAAAATAGCGCTAACTATGCGCTTGAGCAAAGCTAATTTAAAAAAAAACTTTTATTGCCACATTTCTTTTCCGGAAGGAGCCAGCAGCCCTAAATTTGCATTAATTTGATAAAATAGATAAGCCAGTTGAGTCAGCGAACAGAAAATCTGAGATTTGATTCGGAATTATTTAAATTCTGCTGGAGAGGAAACCACTCTCTACTTTGATATATGCGGAAATTGTAACTCTGTTGAGTTCAAAACAAACAAAAAATTAGTAAGAAAATTTAAATTGGTAAAAATTATATTTCATTTCATTTATGTCACAGCGAACGGATGCAGAGCAGGACAGTTTAACGCCACGTTCTGCTAACTGCGCTGTCGTCAAAGTTTCTCAAATTGAGAATGTGAAAGCTGAAGACTAGCTGCTTGGCCAGAAGACGTCCGACTGTAACAACGTTGTGTAGCCAGTTCAAATCGCGCTGGAGCAGTTGATTTTTCGAATTGAACTTGTGGGCATCATAGAAGCTTTTTTGTAATTAAATTTGGAATCAATAAATTCTGAAAAGAAATGCCGTACAACAAAAAAAAAAAGGAATGCCGCCTACAGTGCTAAGCTGCGTTCGGGCGCAACGCGAGCTATGTGGGACCGCTATAGGAAACTGAAGAAGGAAGCGGGGCATATTTGCCGCAATAAGAAGAGTGATGAAGTAATAAATGAGTGCAAAAAGCGTGAAATGCTGGCCGACAGGAAAAACTCCAGAAAATTTTACCAGAGAATTAAGCGACCTGCGGAAGGTTTCAAGTACTATATTACCGGATAACTTTGGACCACGTGAAGCCAAAAACGCAACATTTACTGGAAAAAAGGATTGTCAAAGTATCCGAAAATCAACTGGTGGGTAAACGGACAAAAATCCACATTTCAGCCAATTTTTTTTGCTTTGCGTCTTTTTTGCTGGCTGGCAACATAGTGACTAAATTTAGCATCATACGCTCATAAATAATTGCGCTTAGTTTTATTAATCTTATGTATGTGGTTTTAGTTGGTTTAAAATTCAAGATACTTATGCACATTTTTCAGCTAGAACATTTTTGGTGCAACTCAACAACTTCTTGAAATTTAAAACAAGTAGTTGTTTAAAAATTCAATTAACTTAGTAACTAATTGCACTTACTTATTATAGAGCACAATATCCGGCAGCCAGATGTGTTCGGATGGCACGTGCAACGTATCTACACCGCCATAATCATCCGGATTCCATTTCAGTTTGTAGTCATTCCATTCCTGCAACAACAACAAAAAAAAGAGAGAGAACAATACAAAAAACATTGAAATAAATATTAGACAAGCTGGCAGACAGATAAAAACAGTAAAACAGACAAAAGCAAAAGCAAAAGCAGTAGCAAAACCGCAAATATGATTATCGATAACAGAAAATTAATGAGGAAAAATGCCAGACGGCACTTGCGCACACAACTGTACGTTCGAATGCATAAATTAGAACGTTTAGTTAGGCTATCTGCACACTTGTCGTCCAATCATAGTTGCGTTATCGTCTCGCCCTGAAATTTTGAGCCGAGCACATGCATTTCAGAGGAGATCTGCACACTTGTCGTTATCGGCTAGTTATCGGCAAATAATAAGTTAATATTTGCATAAAAATTAGTATTTTTTGCATAAAATCTGTGGAAATTATTAAAAAGTGGATAATTGCATTAAGATTCAATAAATGTGAGCGCTTTAACTATAAAATATGACGAAATTGTTAAAAGTCTCTGTGTGCATGCACAAAGCACACTTCAGGAAAAGAAAAGGAGATATTACTAAAAAATTATGTCTAGAATTGTTGCAGCACAGTCTATATTTTAAAAATTGCAGGTTTTTGTAAATATTTCGCGAAAATATCAACTAGAAAAACAGGAAATACCTGCTCCAAGTGAATTTTTAGACGCCAAATGAATTGCAATATCACGACCGAGTGTGCGAAAGTGTAGTCGTCATATAATCGTTGCATCATGATTGTGACGATGAAGCAACTATGATTAGACGACCAATGTGCAGAAAGCCTTAGGATGCAAGGCGCGTGGCTACGAATTTGTGTGTGTATGGAACATTCGTATGTGTGAAAATGTACAAATGTAGATGCTGACAGACAGGCCCAAATTACTGTATAAAATTAAATTCGAGAGGAGGAAGGCGAAAAAATTGTTTACATGGCATATTGGACTTTTTGTTTCGTGTTTTTTTTTTTTTGCATATTTTGAATGCATATAAAAGTAATCAACCAATTGGAAAAATGATATTCGTTAATATCACTAATTAGATACATTCTATTTTAATTGTTTAAAAAATATGCGATTAAATTTTTTTGTTATTTTAATAGGACTTTATAATTTGACTCTAAACGGATATTAGCTGTACTTGTTATTCAATTAATAATGCATTATTGTTTGCAAATTTGAATGCATATTAAGTAGCATTCGTTGTATTCGAATTAAATCTAATTATGTTAATATTATACATTAGTACAAATAAAATCCATAGCAATAACTATTTGGGATGTACAGGCATATGTACAGGCATATGTATGTTCTCGTGATCCGATTTGGACTAAAACGTGTATAAATGTTTGTAACTGAATACATCTGCGTTAGGTATTTTGACATACATACATATTTTGGTTCTCTTCTAAAAAAAAAACTTCAGCCTTTTCTCCATAAACCTATTTATGACCATAGATAATTGGAAGTGTAGTGCACATTGATACCTTAAGAAGGAGGACGAAGGATACTGGTTAGTGGGAGGTGGGTGTGCTTATTGTCCGATTTCAAAGATTTTCAACAGCTTTCGTAGTTGGGCTCTAAGCAAGGACCGTCTAAAGGAATTGGAAAGGATTGGTGAAGAGGCTACTGAGATACAGCATTTCATCATAAGTGGGCGGCGTCACGCCCATTTTCCAAAAATTTCATAATAATATTACTTAGCATCAAAATTTTACTTCACATGCTCATTTTTAACAATTTGGATGTAATAATTACTGAAATATCGGCGGTTTTGCATTTTTCGAAAATACCGTTATGTGGTAAGTGGGCGTGGTACCAGTCCAATTTCGCCCACTTTCACTACCAATCTACCTTGGATAAAAGGTAACCCAAGTACCACGTACGTTCAGATATCTAAATTTTTGCTCGAGTTATCGTGTACTCGGACGGACGGACATGGCTCGATGGACTTTTCTTTTCATTCTCATCATTTATGTATGTATACATTTGCCATTTACAACCCTTATGCGAACAAAGTTATAATGCCCTTGTGCACAAGGGCGCTCGGGTATAAAAAAGGCGACACTTATAGTAATTTGTTGAATAGCAAAAACTGTTTTTATCGAAGTTTTTTGTTCAATAAATGGCTATAAGTGACCACCACGTCAAGGTGCACGAATGGTATTTTCAGGGATAGTAGTCGAGAGTTCTAGCTTTAATTTAAGCCCAAGTGGAAGGTTCTATCACCTTTTGTTTTTATTTTTGCTGGAGTTTCGCAAATATTTCAAAAAAACGCAATTTTTTGATACTTTGATCACGTTTTTCTCAAAATCTAAAGCCGATGGAAACTTTATACTTACAGATTCGTAATCAGCATAAAAAAGGCTATCGAAAACAGCTTTAACATTTAAGGAAAAAATATTTTTTCAAATTTTTGATGGCCTGTTTAATATTTGAATTAGTAAAAGTGACCATAGAAAAAAGCTCCCGACGGATTTTGCTCTCTTTTTTAGGAAAATGTTCAGTGAACACCCCCGAAATAGTAGCAACAGGAATCGGAGAACGGAAGCAACTTGAGCTTGAGCTTGAGGTTGAAATTATTTCCATTGTTGAATGCATTCAAATTTACAATCAAACTGAGTACCTTACAATTCAAATTCCATTTTAAGTAGAAAAAGCTTTACAATTTGAATTTCTTAACTGACGAGTAGCATTGAGTTTTAATGTTTCTCCAATCACACAAAAAAAAATTTGAATAATAAATGAAAAACATTTATTCAATTCAAACCACGTTTGCGATAGTTTTGTAATTCTATTCGAGCAAAAAAAAAAAAATAAAGAAAGTTTTGAAGAAAATGTACATAAGTATATTTAAATATATAGTAAAAAATTTCTTATGATAATAGTTGCAAAATTTGTATCATAGAATTCGGAACCTCCAGCACCACCAGCCACTGATATTAAAGAAAGGCTTATCAGTGGGGAATATATATTTAATGAAAAAAGAGGACGTAGCCAGGCTTGGGAGATATTCGCAAAAATTAAAAGTTGTAAAGGAGAAGAAGTGCGCGCGATTATGTTGCTTGCAGAAAGTGCTTGAGCATTTATAAGTTTAACGGCAGCACATCAAATATTCTAAGCTAAAAATGTTGCTCAAATAGATGTCAGCGTGGAAACGAAACAGGAGAGTGTTACTCTTATAACGAAATGGGCAATAAAAAATTGCCGCTCATTTAAAATAGTTGAAAATTCCTGATTAAAAGAATTCGCTAAATTCTTAATTAAAGTAGAGCAACTTTCGGTTCTAATGTGGACATTAATAAATTATTACCCCATCCTACAACAATATCGCGAAATATTGCGTTGCTATATGAAACCTTTAATATAAATATAAAGTGAGCTGCAAAGATATAGGTTACTCAAGAAAACGGCCCTTAGTTAGCTAAGTCCTTTTGCGTTTTATGCCAAACTACTTCATTTACTTCAAGGGTCAAATATTCGGCTGAAGATAAGTAACATTTTAAAAATATTTGGATGTGACCTCGACGAAGACAAGCCCATCATTGTGACAGACCGTGGATCCAATATGGTTGCAGCTTTTCGCGAAGACCAAAAAATTCACTGTGCCAACCGTTTACTGCACAATACGATTGAAAAAGTAGTCAAGGCAGTACCCGAATTGATGCAGATGGTAGCGAAATGCAGTAAATTAGTTAAATACTTTAAAAAGTCAGGTATAAACTCAAGCTTAGGACTCACCTTGAAAAGTTATTGCCCCACGCGCTGGAATACAATTTTTTATTTGATGAAATCAATTGAAGAAAATTGGGTTGATGTAACCAGTATATTAAAAGAAACCAACCAGACGAACAGAATAGAAATTTTGTAGAACTGAAAAACATATGGCGCAGAAAGATCAGGTGGAGAAGGACTTGGCTTCACTTGGCATTTCCAATTGGCGTCAGTTGGCACAGAAAAGAAACGACTGGCGTGCTTTGTTGAACTCGGCCAAAATCGCTTAGGCGGTTACAGCGCCAAATAAGAAGGAGAAGAAGTTCGATGTAGAATAACAGTATGGACTTCCAAAGAAAATTTTTCTGAACTGAAAAACATACAATTTTTGGGTGCACAAGCGCGAATAGGTATTGAAAACGTCCTTCTTAATATTATTTTTATTTTATCCCAAACTAATAAAGTAAAAAGGACAATTTCTACCCTTTCGCCCTTGTGTACCAAAACATTTAATTCTCATTCATTTTTACAGAATATTCTCTATCTACAATTACATACATACCTATCGTCACCTGAAATGCAAAAAGGGGTAACAAACATCATCGCGGAAATGCCAAAAAGTCATAACTAATAAAAAATTTAAAACTCACTTTTAGATTTAGGTATATGATGGATTTCATCGAATTACAAAACAAAACTATTAAATAGTCACGTCTTTTTGCATTTCAGGTGTACTTGTATTTTTCATACAAATGTTTTTAAGTATGTATTTGTGTTTGCAAATTTTTTTGCGCCACACATTTAAATTTTCCACTTATTTACTTTTGCCACAGCTCAATGACTTTCTTACTTCTGTTGCACAGTTTTATTTCCAATATATGTTCTCAAATTTTTTCGTATTCACTTACTGCCGCTGCTTCCACTGCTACATACAAAAATATTGTAGTGGTATTAAAGTTAAACTTGTTGCATTCAAATTACTAAACAATGGAAAAAGTAAGTTCATAACTGTTGTTCAACACGGATTACTTCACATCACACTTGCCCCGGCATTTGCTCAACTTACGCTTCACGTTAAACTCGAATCAATTCATTTCATTCCATTTCATTTAAATTAACTTCAATTTGTTTCACTTAATTTCAGCTACAATTTGTATGCATTTAATTTAAGTGTGCCACAGTGTTCTGTGCTGCTGAGCATTCAATTTCCCAACGCTTGTCCTATTGTATGCAGGCACCTTGTAGAATAAAAACAACCAGCTAAACATCCTTGAATACTAATTTGATTTA